ATAAACAAGATTGATGAACCTCTAGCCAGGCTCACCAAGAAGCAAAGAGAGAGGACCCAAATAAACGAAATCAGAAATGAAAGAGGTGAAGTAACAACTGATCCCACAGAAATACAAAGGATTATGAAAAAATACTATGAACAACTCTATTCCAACAAAATGGACAACCTAGACGAAATGGACATATTCTTAGAAAAATACAAGCTCCCAAAACTCAGTCTGGAAGACTCAAAAACCTGAATAGGCTGATAACTACCAAAGAAATTGAAGCAGTGATAAAAAAATCTTCCAGCAAAGAAAAGCCCTGGTCCAGACGGCTTTACAGGGGAGTTCTACCAAGCATTCAAAGAAGAACTAAAACTTATCCTACTCAGACTATTCCAAAAAAGTCAAGAGGAAGGCACACTTCCAAGCTCTTTCTATGAAGCCAGCATTACCCTAATTCCAAAACCAGATAAAGACACAACAAAGAAAGAGAACTACAGACCAATATCCTTGATGAACATAGATGCTAAAATCATCAATAAAATTCTGGCAAATTGGATTCAGCATTACATTAGAAAGATCATACACCATGACCAAGTGGGATCCATTCTGGGGATGCAAGGATGGTACAATATCCACAAATCAATAAATGTGATACATCACATAAACAAACTGAGAGACAAAAATCACATAATCATATCAATCAATGCAGAACAAGCATTTGACAAAATCCAATACCCTTTCTTGATAAAAACTCTCAGCAAATGGGAATAGAGGGATAATACCTCAACATAATAAAAGCCTTATATGACAATATTACGGCCAACATCATACTCAATGAGCAAAAACTCATTTCTCCTAAGAACAAGACAGGGATGCCCACTTTCACCACCCCTGTTCTAAATAGTACTGGAAGTGCTAGCCATAGGGATCAGACAAGAAGAAGAACATAAAAGGCATCCAAATTGGAAAACAGAAGATAAAATGTTTATAAATATTCTAATCAATAAATTTGATAAAAGTAAAAATTAATTTATTTTTCATATGTTGTTTCATATGTTAATTTTTATTCTCTAAATCTGACCGTGCAAAAGGTAACACATTGATTAAGCTGATAAATTTTTTAAATGCCTTATAAGTTAAAAGAAACAATAGAAAATTAGGTGCATAGGCTAAAACTTACATTGTAAGTTTAAAAATAAACTTAAGCCCTAGCTGGTTTGGCTCAGTGGATAGCGTGTCGGCCTGCCGACTAAAGGGTCCCTGGTTTGATTCTGGTCAAGGGCACATGCCTGGGTTGTGGGCTCGATCCCCAGTAAGGGGAGTGCAGAAGGCAGCCAGTCAATGATTGTCTCTTATCATTGATGTTTCTGTCTCTCCCTCTCTGAAATCAATACAAATATATTTTAAAAAAATAAAATAAATAAAAAATTAACAATCTGGTAAGTAAATTTTCTCACTGTATTAGTTTGCAAGGGTCGCTGCAACAATGTACTACAAACTGAGGGCCTTAAACAACAGAAATTGATTTTGTCACAGTTCTAAAGACTAGATGTTTAAGATCAAGGTGTTGGTTCAGTCTACGGGCTATGAGGAAGAATTTGTTCCCGGTCTCCTAGCTTCTGGTGTTTTGATGGCAATCTTTAGTGCTCCTTAGCTTCGAAGGAACACCCAAGTCTCTGTCTCCATCTTCACATGGTGCTCTCCCTGTATACATGTCTATGCCCAAATTTCCCCTTTTTATAAGGATACCAGTCATACTGGATTAGGGGCCCACCTACTCTCACATAAGCTCATCTTAACTAATTATATCTGCAAGAACCCCATTTCCAAATAAGGTCATATTCTAAGACACTGGGTTTAATACTTCACCATATAAATTTCTGGGAGACATAATTCAACTCATAAACACTCACTCTCCTTTATACCTTCCCTAGTTCTGGCAGATTTTACTTCATGCCATTTCTACAAATGCATATATGCAAAAAAAAAAAACTAAATTGAGTCAACATATATGAACCAAAGACAGTGCTGAGGTATATCTGCATGTCTCTAAACCAATGGGAAGCTTGTCTGGTTGACAGCTGGATGATGAGTCTATTTCCAATAGGGCATGCTGAGGGCAAACAGGTCCTAGAGGCCCTCCTAAATCCCCTACGTAAACAGAAATGTAATAATATGCACACATACACTGAAAGACTGTCAGAGATCAAGGAAATATACAAGGTCTTTTTCTCTGTGTTTGAGCTGAGAAAAAGATGTGTGTATTGATAATGTAGAGTTGGAAAACTCTCTTACTGGTCTCAAGAATAATTTTTTTTTTTTTTGCTTTGGGATATTGGTGGTAGTTAAGTCCTTCCACAATTATTGAAATCTGAGCTACCTATCAAGTTACACAATACAGAACATTTGGAGTCCAGTCAGAGCTATCTTCCTCCCAGCCTGTCCTTATTGTCCCTTGACTGAGAACCATGGCCCTAAATAAAAAAGAAGAGCCAGGGTGTAATGCTTATGACTTTATTGATGATTTAAAGTTGGAGAAAGAAAAGGCCATGTTTACACCACTGAAAAGTCCATGTTCACCAGTCGATCTCTATCAATTCTGAAACAGAGAAAAATGGTTTTAGACACAATAATCACTTGGCCTGAGCATGCTCTATGACTGGTATTTCTATAATGAAGTAGGCTCATTATAAGACAACACATGAAGTTAAAATAGAGTAGAAGAAGGAGGAGTGAGGAGGTAGAGATGGGAGGAAGAAGCCAGGAGAGGGAAACAGGAGGGAGGAGAGAAGAGAGGTGGAGGGGAGGAGAGGTAGGACTTGGAAAATTTTAGGTTAATATAAGAAAAGGAAGTCAAACAAAAGCTCAGGGTAGAAGTAACACTTGCTCTTAAAAGAATGAAGGAGATTTTTCTATGTGTAAGGTTGAGGCAAGGAAATTTGTGGCAAAGGCAAATATGGACAAACAGTTTGAGTGATTAAAATCAAGAATCAAAACAAGAGAAGTAACTAGAAACAAAAAGAAAAAAATTTAAAAATTTAAGAAGAAATTCACTAGATTGGGGACTAAAAATGCAATTAATACCTAGGGAATCACTGGAAGCCATCTCTAGTTGGTTTTCTTTGTCACTGACCACCACGTTGACTACCCTGGCCACCTCTTCCACGCTGACCACCCTGGCCACCAGGGCCACCCTGGTCATCTCTGCCACCTCGGCTACCCTGGCCATCTTGGCCTCTCTGGCCACCTCGACCACCTCGGCCTCCTCTTCTACCTCCTCTTCCACCTTGGCTACGTGAGTTTTCCTGGTCTCCCTGGACATTCTGGCTTTGAGGCCAATGATGGTGACCATGGTCTCTTTTTTCATGCTGACCTCCATGTTCTTCTTGCGATCCCTCTGGGGGTTCTTCAACAATTTTATGGTCTTCTTAAGTGAGAGAATATATTCAGAAAGAAACAAGGAAAGAGAAAGGTTAGCCATAAACTTAAATGAGGCAAGTAAGGAATCTACTGTAGCCTAGATTTAGTTAGAAGTAATATAATACAGGTTTAAATGGTACTAGGGTCCAGCGCCTACAAGGGGCAGAGAAATCCTGGCCTCTTTAGAGGGCATGTACTTGTTAGCTTAGCACCTCTTGTTCACCCCATCACTAGTTATTCTCCCCTCTTTTGATGTTTCGGCCACTATTCTATATGGCCATAGTCTAACCTTGCTGTGATACACATGAATTCATCTATAAACCACTAGATAACTCATGATGTCTGAGAAACCACCAGATGGAGTCACTGTGTCTATCTATAGATATGCATGATATCTTGGCACAAATCTATTGAACAGGGGAAATTATCAGTTACCCTGCCCTTCCCAATAGCAGAGGAATCATATAACACCCACTCTCCCCTCTCTTCTATCAACTGTTAAGTCTTTAGACCAACAGAAAGTATACACAAAGCCCACCCTATATTTTATCCTTTTGAAAATTCCTGGTATCTCTAATTGAATCCCAGCCCTCACCATCTGTTATATTAACTTTCAATCATTTCTTCATGCTCTCGTGGTCATCACTCTTCTTTTAATCAACAGTACATTTATTTATTTTTTACATCCAATGTTATTTTGTATTAGTTTCAGGTATACAGCATAATAGTTAGACAATCACATACTTTGCAAAGTGTTCCCCCAATATTCCCAGTACCCACGTGGCATCATACACAGTTATTACAATATTCTTGACTATATTCCTCATGCTGTACTTTATATCCCGTGGCTATTCTGTAACTACCAATCTGCTATGGTCATCACTCTTACAATCATTCTCTTGTGATTCAATGTATACTTTATTGCATGCCCATTACATCAGACACTAAGACTCTACACTTAAAAGACACAGTTTGGGCTTTCAAGTTGCTATTCTTCATTGTTGTCAGATCAAAAAATCAATTTCTGTGTGACTCCCCTATTCAAAAATCACTCTGTGGCCCATAGGATAAATTACAAATTCAGTTTGCCATTCATGGCATCTTTTGTAATCTGGAACTAAGCCACATCTCTAGCTTTATCTTCCTATATTCACTTCAACCTTACTGGGTTATTCTGTGTTCCTAGACCACTGAAATGCTGTGTTATATGCACAGATTTAGCCATGCATTTAACTTTGCCTCCCCCCATGCCCCACTCTCCAAGGTCCAGATCACATGGCATCTCCTGCGGGAGGCCTTCCCTTTTCTCCCTTTCTCTGAACTGCCATAATGCTTACTTTTGCCACTTTTCTGAAGGTGATCATCATTATGTCTAAAAGTGAAATCTTCCATTACATCCTGAGTTCCTTAAGGACAGGAACAATGCTTCATTTACCTTTGCATTCTTAGTACCAAGAATAGGACCCTGCCATGGTTATTAAGTATTAAATTTTATTGAATTATTGTTGGCATAGACAATGTAGATAATAAAAGCATTTTTTTTTCAGGACTCCTTATAGCCATGCCCTCACAAGGCCAGGTAACAGGCAAGAAAAAATCAGAAGTAAAGCAATGACCATATTCTCTAAACCTGAGAGATCTTATAGATCTAAAGCAAACCATTGATTTTATTTGTCTTTTATGCTCATTCTGCAATATACTAAGAAGATAAAATTATATAGTAAAATGGTTGAGGAAGAAAATCTTTGAAAGTTAAGCATAAATTAAAGTAAAAATCATATACATTTTGGATTACACCAGTGACCCAGAGGTTCCTAGAATCTATTTAGAAAAATTGTAAGTAAGTTGATTGATTTCAAAATAACTCACTCCCCCTCCCCCCCCCACACAAAAGAACGAAATAACTCACCTAATGGTTGGGTTTCTTCCTCTTGGTTTTGAGGGCCTTCTGCAAAGAAAGAACAAACGAAGGAATAAAGTATAAAATGATATCATAACCTTAATGGGAGGATCATTGACAAGTCAGGAACTGAAGAAAATCATTAAGTATGTAAAGGTTTTCTTTAAGCAAGCAAATTTTTTATTGATTCATTTACTGAATCCTGCAACTCTTTGGTGACATAACTTAAAATTCATTAGCTCTCTCATGCACTCTGGTCTTTTCTTATATCCTCCCTCCTATACACACTCCTACCCATGTCACTAAAATTGTCTTCAAATTTTTCATTCGAAGTGTTTTCAGTTAATAATGGCTTTAAGTTTTATCTACTTTGAGGCATCTTATCATTTAAACAGACGTCAAAGCTTAGATAACAGAAGAATGAAGCATTCGTACTGTAAATGAGTAAGTTGCAATCGTAAACTTACTGATTGAATAATATAAGTACTTTAGTCAAATTGCATAATATCTTTATGATTACATGGTATTTTTATAACTTAAATTAGTTAAATGTCAATGGAGACAACACCCTTAAAATGTAAGGGATTTGTATTATTCAATCATTTGTTTTTGTCTGTAGGATTTATAGAAAACATTTGCGTAGGGTGGCACGTTCTGTTGATCTTTAGACACTAGGTCTTTGACACAGAAGATTCCAATGTGAAAAGGAAGGAAATGGGCCATATCTAACAATAAGACTGAGGACCACTAAAATTTAGGCATTTGTCATTATGTTTTGCCTTTTCCTAGACTCAATTTTGAGAGTTTTCAAGAAACAAATACAAAGCAAAGAAAAAGGTATGATAGGTTCTGAAGAAAAAAAGAAAGGAACACATCCTTGAACAAGGATTTACCTGGTGAGTTTTCAGTATCAGTACCTAGAATTTAAAAGGGTGAGGGGGGAGAAGAATAAGAAAACAAATTAAAAATATGATTTGATAAGATCCCAGCTATACATTTATATAAAGACAAGTAGGGTTAAATTTAAGAAGTTAGAAAATTCTTAAAAGAACTACTACTACTAATATGTTTGAATACAATGGACCAACATTTCATAAAGTAGAATCCTCTATCTATCTGATCATTGATTCTGAAGCAGGGATGAAAAGGAAGTCAAATATTTTACTAATTCTGTATTATATATAATAAGATGGAGAGCAACAATGGCTGTAGACAAAATACAAATTATGAGACATTTTGCAACAGAGAAAATTTGAGAATTGAACCATCTGTAGCCACATAGCTTATTGTCTGTATCACCATGACTTTATTCCAGAAAATTCTTGCCTCCAAAAGATAAATTTTTCAAATAATTATTGGTTACTTCAGGAACTTGCCCAAAACCCATTTAAACAAACATTAATCTGTTCAATTTTTTAATGGCATCAATTGCTCATGTGCCAAGACTTAGAACCCTTCACTCCCAAACTCTTGCTAATTATGTAAGCTCTTCAAAGTATTTAAACTCTAAGGTTATGGGTCGAATATGAAATATGGGTAATATCTACCTTGAATTGTTGTAGTGAATAATCAATGGCATGATATGTGTGCGAGATCATGCATAAACTTCCCATGCATAAAATTCCCAATACATACTTAAAGAAGAAATATTTCCAAAGAATTTTACTGTTATTTTCCATCTAATATCCAAATTATCACAAAGTGTAGAGTTTAAGGCTCAGATGATTTTATTATAAAACTGGAGGCCCAGTGCATGAATTCGTGCATGGGTGGGGTCCCTTAGCGTGGCCTGCAAGGATTTAGTGGAAACCAGCATTCCAACGCCACCTGCCACTCCTGCCTGCTGCTCCCGCTCATCCTGGCCCCACTGAGCCTGCCGCGGGCTGGTGCCCAGTCAGTTCTGATTGGGAGAGGCTCGCGCTGCCACAGCGGCACTTGCCAGATGTGAGCCCTGCATCTGGCACCCGTCCAGAGGTGGGTGGGGATGGGCCGGGATGCAATTGGCCCTCCAGGTGGGCAGTGGGATGCCCTTGCAGGCCTGGGATCCGATCCGTCCCGCTGACATTCAAGCTGGTTGTCAGGAGCCACCTGGCAGCTGCTATTATATTATTTCTTCCTTGCAGACCATCTAGGGAGGGGAAGCAGCTGCAGTGCCCAAGGCCAACTTCCAGGAGGCCTGTGGTGCTGTTGGGATTATGCCGGCAGCGCCAGTCCATCGGTGCCTGGCCCATTCTCCAGAGGTTGGGCCTGCAGGACTACTGAGGGAGTGAGTGGCTGCCACCGGGCTGGTGGGCCGCTGGGACAGGTCGGTCACTGAGTGGCACTCCTACTGTGGGAGCGCACTGACCATCAGGAAGCAGCTCTTGTGTTGAGCGTCTGCTCCCTGGTGGTCAGTGTGTGTCATAGCAACCAGTTTACCAGTCGATCAGTCATTTGGTTGCTTAGGCTTTTATATAGATAGATAGATACCCTTTTATAGATGCTTATTAAGGCTTATACATCTTTCAGAAAAATCCAAAATTACCACTTTAGAAATACATTGCCCATGAGCAGCAACTTTATCTCAGTTATGAGAACAGGTTTAAAATTCAAATAATCTATTAGAATTTTTTTCTTTATTGATTAAGGTATTACATATGTGTCCTTATGTATTTGTTTAATATTCTTATTTTCTTAGGATGCTTCCATATAATGAAATAACATTTCATAAGAAAACAAAAATCTTATTCCAACTTTCAATTATCTGTCTTACAAGAAGTCTGATACCTAATGTTTGCAATCATTTAAACAATTATCTGGACTTTGGTAACATTAAGATATGCCATGTGTGTTCTCTTTAAAAAGCCACAGACTAACAAAGACTTAGCCTTCCTCTTTTATTATATATAAATTCCTCCATCATTACTTGAAATTACCCATTTCCAGGAAGTCTTAGATTTACTATAAATGCATGCCTGCCAAGTAGTTACATGATCAGCCCTATACTTATTTTAAAAGAATAAGTAATGTAATGAAAAGAAAAAATTCATAGTGCCTACTTTATGTCAAAATGCTGATGAAATAAATGAAAATTTAATCAAAATTCTCATTTCTAAATGTTTAAGGGTTGACATAAGAAAATGATGTATCTAAATGAATTATAGAATTTTTACTCAATTTAGATGACCTGTTCCACACAGAGTGAATAACTGAATGTCCACATATCTAAAAACAACAGATGTCATACCATGAAGATACTGCTTGGGACTTAGGCTCAGATATTCAGGGAGATATTTGCAATCAGTAGAAAATAGAAACTAATTTTATCTCCTCCTTTATTGACCTACTCTCTGAAAATAAAGTACTTAATTTCTGAGAAGGGTCAATTCAACTCCACTCTATTCCATTAATTTTAACCCCATCATTCCTTGTATGATCTCCATTTCCCCCTCTTACCATTACTGATGTCCTGAGCTGAGCTCAGGGCCAGCAAGGCCATCGAGAGCAAGAGCAGAAGCATCTTGGCAGAACCCATGGAATCTCTTGATGCTTCAGGAACCTCAGCCATGCTCCTTTATAAGAGCAAGGAGAACAATATTGCCTTTGAAGCCCATGGGGTGGACAACACTCACCCATATCTGATTTGCTATTTGGGCCTCAGCCAGCCTGTTGGGTTTAAGGGCTGGTTAAGCTCTTCAATGAAAAACTGTATGTTGATCAGGTTCTTTAAAATAATTGTTTATCCTCCCCAACTATTAGTTATAATTATAAGTATCAACAATTGTCTTCTATTCTGTAACATTTAGTTCATAACTGTGGTTCTCTGTTGTACTACCATGTCCAACATGGTTCAAGCTGAACAAATGTCAATTATTTCAGGCCCCTTTCCTGTAGAATGAGCCTCATCATGAAATGAAAGGCTAAAATAACAGAAATATAATCTCAAGATGAAAGAACAACAATGAAAGCATTTGCCAGAAAGAGACTAAAACCAACTTTAGACTCAAAGACTATCATTATTAAGAATATCCTTGAGTTCATGATTTCAATGGACTGGGGAATCTTAAAACTAAAAAAGATCAGAATAATGAGTGGGTTAGAAAACAATATTGTGCAATGAATTATTGGGCAGATTAAGAGCACTGATCTTGGACAGAGAAGAGTATGACTAAACGTGTTAGTTATACTGTTATATGGAACAAAGAACAATTCCTATGTGTACAGTTCTGGAATGTACAAAAAAGACCTATTAATTTTTAAAGAATGATATTTTGAAGATAATGTAAAATAATTTCTTATAATTATTTAAAGAATTTAGATAACTTTAAATTTAACTTCACATTACTTTAGATAAATTTTAATTATATTAGACTAACATATAAATATGTTTCTTGGAATTATTAAAATGAAACAATAGATTGAGTTCTTTCAGGGGAAAAGTAGTTTCTTATCACCAGATGTCCTCAGGCACTAAGGGATCTATAACTGAATGTTTAAATCTCTTTCTCTCTCTCTCTCTCACACACACACACACACACACACACCCCACCCTGAAGATTCATCGGGGTAGAATCATTTGTGTTCAACTATCTCTTTAAAATGTCATCAATGGAAGAAAGGCTTGTCCTTCCTTTGGATAAAAATTCAAAAAATATATGACCTTGCTGATTATTCTTAGATAGTAAAATATAGTGATTGTTTTGTCACAAAACAGTTTTAATTCAATATATTAAAATGCCCAACCCCATGTAATGGTCATAGTTTTGATATTTATTCAAAGTTATAGCTATTTTCCTTCCATCCAGCTAAGGCAAAGTTATAGCTATTTTCCTTCCATCCGTTCTGTAAGCAAGTTGTCTGTCTCCTGGCCAGAGGGTGCACTCAACTATTCCCCCTTGCCTTCGCTCCCCCCCACAACTCCCCACCTCCCCCCTTATCTATTTCTCTGCTCAATAGCAGCTTTTTTTTTTGACAGAGTTATGGGAGGTGAGGGTGATAAAAGAAAGGTAATTGATAAAGCTCTCATTTTATTGGCATTGTCATAAGCTGGCCCTATATTCTCTAGGCCTGATATATATTTAGAGATGACTGGCATGGGAGTACATTCATGCCTTATTTAAAGACCTCCAGTTATTGGTACTATATTACCCCTAAATGCTTTGATGAGAACAAATGTATTTCTTCGGTTAGTTACAATCCAGCAGTTCAGCTTCTTTGTCCTGAGATTCCATCACTTCTCCAGTTGGTGCTATTAGACCCAACCTAAGATGATCCCTTCCCAGGCTCTCATGCTTAATTCGCATTTGATTTATGGAAAACACCCATTACTTTCCCTGAAACATCTCTGGAGCTCAGGGCAATTCCACCTCAGCCAACCCTCCTTCACTTCATCCATGCGCAGTTACCAGTCTACTGCCATAACCGCCTTTAGATATCTCAGAGGAGTCAGACACTAGTTCAATGTGCCCATCCCACCTAGGGTCATAGTTATTCCACATGAAATCTTTGTGCAAATGAGAAGATGTCCCCTTTAAGCAGACACAGCCCTGCTGTTTCACAGTTTAGCAAGCTTGCCACAGGGTGGATTTCGATCACTACTTGCTCCCTTAGCCAGTTTCCCTTGTGCAAAGCACAACTTGCTTCCCATAGGTTCAGGAGTCCCTGAACATCGACATCACTACCCAATTTCAGGAAGCCCATAAAGAGCTCTTGAGTAATCTCCCTTAATGTACCACTCCCTTGACTTGAGGTGAAGAACATCATCCAAGGCATTCTCTGTTGATGGTGGTGAAGAAGGGAGGGACAAAGATAGTCACAGAACAGTTCTGTCCAAAAAGAAAAAAAATCCTTCTCGCAAGTCAGTCTCTAAATCTCTTCTCTCCATGTGTAGATCAAGGCAAACAATAGGCTTAAAAGATGGGTAATTAGCTTTCCCCTTTTTGAAAGTCTGTCAGGGTATTTTATCTCATCATAACTCATTTGGTATCTCACTTCTACTGTATGCTTGTTGTCTTTGTTAGAACTTCTCATTAACATTTTGCAGTATATCTGCTGTCTCTACTCAAGGCAGACAGGTTATTCTCTGTTACAGTTTTAGCTGAGGACCACCCACCAGGCCTCCTGAGCTATCGTATGAGGTAAAGAGTTCGACCCGAGGCTCTACCGATGCTTCCGTAGGTTGCCATCTGTCTGAGTCCATTCAGGCTTCTTTAACAACATATCATCAAATGGGTGGCTTAACAACAATGGAAATTTATGTCTCACAGCTATTGAGGCTGAGAAGTCCAAGATAAAGGCGCCAGCGGTGCTGGTATCTCCTGAGGGATTGCAGTTCTGTATCAACCAACATGGGATTGTCTTCCAGTGAGAAACAGAAGCTGCACAACAATAGATACACTGTTTGCTTAAATAAGTTTACCAAACAACACCATATATTTAGAAATATCCATATACCTGAATGCACAGAAAAGGCCTGTTTAGATGATAAATCAAATAGTTCACAGTGGTTACTTCTAGGTGAACCAGGAGGGATATTTACTATGTCAGTCATTTTTAAAAATATATTTTTACCTCGAGAATGAACTTATGTATTCTTCGTTGCATTCAAAATAAATACAATTTATTTTATTAAAAATTTTTATTGCTAGCTAAACTGATTTAGATTTTTCACTAGCATTATCATCATCCAACCCCTCAAAATTCAAGATGTCTAAGGTTCACCATGTTTAATGCCAATTAGAGACTAGAATCAAGATTAGCCTCATCTCATCACCTCAGCTCACTTTCACTTCAGTGGTGTAGGCATGCAAGAATCTCTTTCCTAATTGACTCAGTAAAGCAAAATCATCATTGCAGCTTTGCAGTGAAGTATGTTGAATAAAAGTCTTAAACAACATAGCACAATGCTGAGCTATATGCAAAGATTCAAAGTTTGGTCACTTACTTTTAGTAGACACAATGTTCTTTCCTTTTTTTTTATTTCTTTCTTCTTTTTTCTGTTTTCTTATCTGGTAAGTACCTATGAATGTCCTATTAACCACAGAGAGTTATTTTGGAATTTAAAGTTGTTTTCCTTTAAAAAACATAAAAGAAACATACTAGTAGATATTTATTTGCAATTCCTCTTTTTAGAGTTCATTCTTCTCCACTGTTAGGTAAAATATAAAACAAACTAGAATATTTGCCAGGATAGTTTATACCAGAGATCTCTTGATTCTCTGAATGCATACAAGTTACTCTCCACATGATTCATACATTTTCATGCCATATTTCGGAGCATGTCTGTGCAAAAGGTAGGTGTTCGTTAAACATTTCTTAATTCATGACTTTCAAATTACACAACTAGGAAAAATTCATCATACGGAAGTTAACATCATAATGGATGACCTTCATGGATCTCATAAGTCTATTACATGCTTTAATTTAGGTAAATTAATAAATGTCAGTGCCTTGGATTTCTTCCATATATTCATTCCCCAAAGCAAACATTAAAAGATTAGATCAATATAAGATGAAAGATTAAAGTAACACCAATTATATCACAAGACAAAACAGAAAAAAAGCAACAACCCTGTACAGTATGTGAACTTTCAGAATTATTTACAGGAATTTCCATGATCAAATTGAAATTGGTGTGCTGTCTGAAAATGTCCCCAAATTCCTTAAATTTCATAGTCTACAAAAACTTTAGGACTCCCTACTGGCTCCCCAAGGTCCCCTTCTGGACAGCAGAAATCATATGCTTTGCAATCTAGTTACCCCTGGTACCCTTAGAACTAAAAAAAATAATTAAAATAATAAATTGAACACAAGGTTCAAATACAGATGATGCTGAGCTTTTAATAACACATAGATTTTAAGAACAACATTTGAGAGGGTAATATTTTGGCAGAGAGAAGTCATTAAAAAAAGCTCAGTGGTATCTCCTCCTGGACCCATTTCTCCACCCAATATCCGGGGTTGGGTGGGGGAGGAAAAGGGGGGGACAAAAAAAGAAATAATTTAACCAAGAGTTGAAAAACTGGCCTCTAACTCTCAGATGGGCGGGGGCGGGGAGGGGGGTTATGTTGCCTTAGAAAAGGAAGGAGAGCCATAGGAAACATAAAAGAAAAAAAGTCCAGGTGGCTTAGTGAAGGATAAAGAACATTATTAAAATTATCAACTGCGTGAGAAAAGTGGTTGCTTCTGTCTATCACTATATTCCCAGTGCCTAGCATATTGTGGGCATTCAATAAATGTTAGTTGAATGAATAAATGAGCAAGTGAAGGAATGAATGAAAACGTCAGGTGAAATATACATAGAATTTTCTTCTGAGATGGCATGCCCTTTTAAAGATCGTGGAGAAAGTGGTCTAAATCTCAATGATTCTAACCATAAATTCCATCCTATATTTACAATTGGAAATAAAATATGAGTCTGAGTTAGAAGTATATAAGACAAAGGACTCAGAAAGTACGAGAAAGTTAAAGATGAGGGGGTCATGTCACCTGAAACTTACTTATGCCTTAGATTGTGGAGATGAGTTGAAAATTTCATTATAACCAAAGAGGGTGTGTGCACCTCAGGTCACAC